ACACACTCGCGCACACACACACACACTCACACACTCACACACTCACATACGCACACAGAGACTCACACACACACACACACACACACACACACACACACGTGTTTCTCACGCTCTCTGCTCTTTGATTTCTGTTTCTGAGAACTGCTGCTGCTTCTGCTGTCACATGTCCTCTGCTTAGAAATGTTGGAGCCTGTGTTCTCTTGTTTGACTTCAAATTTCCTGGTATTCAGTTTTTGTCATGTGCTTTCTGCAGTCTATTCCTACCAGCAGCAGCAGTGTGTGTGGGTGTGTGTGAGGACTGATGGGTGAGTGGTTGCTAGATGATGTATGGCATGCGGTCCCTTTAATATGTTTCCTGTACGACTGACAGCTGGGTCACAGCACACACACACACACACACACAGGAACAAACGTTAAAAAGTATTAGCAGACTGTCAGATCTGCTGCATAATCAAAGCTCACAAAAGGAGCATTCAGAGCTCAAACGATGAAGCACAACTTTGACATGTAGGGAGATCTGCACACGTACAGTGAAACAGCTCAGCATTTCTTTTATCATAATAAGTATATTCAGTTTAGCCACGACTGCGTTATTCGTTGCTGTCTTTAAGACTCTTCACACAGTATCTGTCCTTCTTCCTCTCTACTGTATAGTGATCATGTGTGTTTTTCTGCTTGTATGTCTCTCTCATGCTTCAGCAGATCTGGGGTCAGTACACTCTAAAAAATGCTGGGTTAAATACAACCCAGTGCTGGGTAAAATAGGGACAAACCCAGCAATTGGGCAGTTTTGGCCCAGCGGTTTAAATGTCAAAACAACCCAATTGCTGGATTTTTTAGAGTGTAGTAGCTGCAGTGTGACACACTTTAGTCCAGTTGTGCGGTAAATGAGCGCTAAGTTACAGTTTACACATGACCACATTTTTGAGTCTGTTGATGATCTTAATCCAGATTTGTAAACACAATGAAACAGCTGAGTGAACAGTGTAAAAAAAACTAATAGTTGAGAAAACAAATAAAAAATAAAATAAGGCAACTTAATGCAGTAAGACTTCTGAGTTACTCCAACAATAGTCTTTTAGCTCTTCTCAGTAAATATACTTTGTTCAGCCAAGGGAAATTTGTTTGTTCATGCAATGCTGATTGTCTTATTTTGCTAATAGAAAAATTCTTGTCACAGCAACTGAAACAACAATTACTGTCTTTGAGGTAATTTATTTGTTTCTGTTTTCTGGATGTAAAATAGAATGTGTAAAAAGTCACGATATTATACATTTCATGTTTATTTATGAATGACAAACAGTGAATTTTTATAGAAACCTTATGTAGACAACATTGTATTTGTTTGTAAAATATCTTTCAAGACTAAGATATCCAGGAAATAGATATATGTGAGCCTGCAGCACAAAAGCAGTGTTAAGTCGCTGGGGGATATTTGTAGCAATAGCCAACAATACATTGTATGGGTCAAAATGATATATTTCTCTTTTATGCCAAAAATCATTAGGATATTAAGTAAAGATCATGTTCCATGAAGATATTTAGTAAATGTCCTACCGTAAATATATCAAAACTTAATGTTTGATTAGTAATATGCATTGCTAAGAACTTCATTTGAACAACTTTAAAGATGATTTTCTCAATATTTAGATTTTTTTGCACCCTCAGATTCCAGATTTTCAAATAGTTGCATCTCGGCCAAATATTGTCCGATCCTAACAAACCATACAGCAATGAAACGGACATTGATGCACAAACCTCAAGAACTATGGTAATCAACACATGTTAAAAGATGAGCTTTTTATATCCCAGTACAACAACTAACAATAATGACAAAACAACAACAAAGAAGTTTAAATGAAGCCAGCAAACAGAAAAACTATGCTGCAATGCATGCTGGGAACTCAGAATGCCTTGACATTTCAACAATATGAAATTCTATGTTCAGACAACTGTGTTTGACTAGTTGGGACAACATTTGGGGTAATTCTGTTGGTCTGGCAAGGGTCTTTATGTACTGTAGTTTCAAGAAAATAGCATTTTTTTATATTTGAGACTCAAAAGGTTTCATAAACTTGAAAATATGCAGTTGTATTTTTTTTTACAGTGAATGCATTACCAATGTTAAAGAAATCTAATCACATTAAAAACATTTAATAAATCTTACACATTACTGCACTGACAAAGCTACTATATTACGAATTGAAGCACAAACATTAAATCTACATCCAGCTAAATAACTGTTCATGAAACCATAGATTTCATACAAATAAATAAAGGGCTGAGTTTGTTCTGCTCTCATTATTTCTGAATGAGTTCATCAGGTCTCACACACACTGACGCACTTGTGCCTCATTCACGTGATTTGTGCTTCAGAGAGATCTCTGCTGAAATGAGCCTAGGAAGAATTAAAGCTTCGTATTCTGTTGAGTTTGGAAAACCCTCTACACAGTGATGTTCAGAATATCTCCAATTTCTGAAGAGGTCTGGACTTTTAAATCTTCTTACAGAGAGCCATACGAAGTGGTGTATAGGAAACTATACGGCTACAGCACATTAAAAATATACATAAACGGCCACATTATTTGGCTCACACATCACACGTCAGTGCAAGTTGAGTTTAAATGGACTTTACAAAATTTGATTTTATGCGAAATAAAGCAATAATTCACCTTTTCAATATAATATAATATAATAATAGAGCCTCTTGAGAAAAAAAAACTGATGGATTATGTATGTATGCATGTACAGTGGGGCAAATAAGTATTTGATACACTGCCGATTTTTCAAGTTTTCCCACTTACAAAGAATTTGACAAGTGTATTAACATTCAAGCTATTTTGAATACAATGGCATACTGTTCACTGTACAGTATGTACTGTACACTGAATACTATTTAACTAAATGTAGTGCTGTATGTGAAGCAGAACAGTAACATTTCAAATAGCAGGTTGTGTTTAAACCAGCGATCGTCTAGGTCCAGTTCTCATGTCTCCAATCACAGCAATTCAAGAAACAGATGTTCAAAACATGCCTTTTCCAGTTCATTCATCACACCAGAAATGGAAGTTCAGCTCAACCACATTGCATTGTGGGATACAGTAACCATCGCAGTGTGCTCAGATCAGGGCTCCAGACTGCAGCCAAATGGTTGCATTTTGCGACCATATTTTCTGCCGGTGCGACACCATTTTGTGAGCGGTTGCACTGGCGCGACCACCGCGTTATTCAGCTCGTAAGCGCTACCATTTCAGAGGCATATGAGAAATATCAAACGACAAAAGAAACAAAAGTGTAACGAAACCGAGCTAGTCGTTTGAGCTGCACAAGCAATGTCAAGCACATTTCAATGACTTTCAAGCTTTTCACACAACTATTTCCAGCACTTTAAAGCTCTAAAAATGATCCAATTTAATTGTTTTTTTTTAATGGAATGACCAAAATATACTTTGGGGTAAATAAACAGTAATGCAAAATTAAAAAACAAACAAACAAACGTAAAATTACCACTATAACCAGTAGATGGCAGCAGAGGAGCACTTATTGTCTTATTAGTCATGAATTTCTACTTTTAGCTTTATATTTTGAAATTATAAAACCACTATAATAAAATATCAAATCATCAAGAAATCAAATTTTGTCAAAGTTTTGCACGTTTTTTGTGTATGAAGTAAGAAAAGTCACAAAGTGCCTTGAAAAACACAAACTTCAATTTGCCACTGAATCACACAAAGCGTGTTCCTTTTATAATCACCGAAGTCATCAGTCAGTTCTGTACAATACTATAGAAGAATAATGGTATATTTAATAAGTAGGGATGTAACGATTCGCTCAACTCACGATTCGATTCACGATTTTTTTTTTTACAAATTGAGATTTAAGATAAATTATAAATAAAATGTGTCCTTTTATTATTGCTTGGACAAAATGCTGCACATTTCTTTGTGAAATTGAAATATAACTATAATAATATTCTAATATAGTAATTGCATATTATTGCTCTTTTGTTGGTTTTGATTGCTTCTATTGTCCTCATTTGTAAATCGCTTTGGATAAAAGCGTCTGCTAAATGACAAAATTTTAATATAATGTAAATGTAAATAACAAAACTAAATTTTAAAACAAGCTCCAAATCAAATAAGTAACACAAATCAAATAAATCTCTTCATATAAACAAAATAAGGCTTTGTCTGTGCTCTTTCATTTACATTTAGAGGCAACCACTGCATTTTAATCACGATCCAAACACAGATGCTGCATACATGCAACACGAGCAGTTTTTAATCTAAATTACATTATATAATTTTGAAATTTGAAGCAAAAACAGAATGGTTTGACTTCAGTTTTGTGAAACTATGCATAAAATATCTGCATGAAACCGAAACAGCAGACGAGCTGAACGAGACGCAGATGCACTCTCTGCCAGCAGGTGGCGCTTAAAGCGTTTCTGCTGTAAACAAAGCAGCGCTGCGCTTATGAACTTTAATATGCATTACACAGAGGCAAGATGAGAAGAAAAAATACCATCTAAACTTTTCTAAAGACAGTAAGTTCGCCTCAGACGTACATTCATATAAACTCTTAACCCTAATTGAATCTCGATTTGTTTAGCATCTCAACCGATTTGAATCGTCACATATTTAAATAGATTTTCAACCGGCTCGTGGTTAATCGTTACATCCCTATTAATAAGAATAGAATATATCATTTTTCTATCTAAAAAATAGATTTTGCACGTTACTGTTGTTATTAAAAGTTAATTTTGTATGCTTCTCAACTCAAGCTCAGTGCTTTACTGTCAAATGTGTATTACCAAGAAATAAAGGTGTAATATTAACTGCACTTATTAATGCAAAACATTATTCTCAACACCCCTGGAGTCCTGTCAGATGCATACTGAATATCCACAAAATGAGTGACCACAGCAAACGGTTGAGTTTTGCAGTGATGAGCAGAGAATGGAGAATACGGAGTCTCAAGAGAAATGAAAGCAGTCGTACCTGCAGCCTGAAGCACCAGCTGGAGTCGAGCTTTGGCCTGTTCTGCAGGAGTCTAGAACCACAGAGAAGCACGTTAGTAAACGCTCTAAACACTGGATTAGGAAGAAACAAGATAATAGAAGACGACTCAAACCTGAATAGACAAACACTACATTAGGGCATTTTTTTTTCAGCGATTCATTTGAATTGTTGTTTTGAATAAAAGCAAACATTACAATTAGACATGCTGACAATACACCAATGATAAAAGTTAAGAGAGAAAAAAAATAGACACAAACTGAACTTCTTTTAACTTAAACATTGTGTTTTTAGAATGCTGTTTAACGCACAAGACGCTGCAAAAGACGCAAGACGTCCATCAAGTGCATGTTTACGTAGAAAAACTGCATGTTTGATATTTCATGTTTGCATGATGGTGACGGGCTGAAAGCTGCTGGTGTCTTCTTTATTTTAACAAAACATTTACTGTTAATAATAGCCTAATAGCTACAGCTTTTATGCACTGCAAATTTGCCTTGACATTGAAAACCGAATGTCTACATTTTGGCTAAGAAATATACCGCATTTTAATTGTTCGTTTGTATTACTTCTGAGCATTGAGAAAATGTTCAAGACAAGTTTGCACAATATTTGCTCTCGTGCATCTTTTCCGCAAAGAACACTCTTAAAAATAAAGGTTCCAAAAAGGGCATTTTGAAGTGATGCCATAGAAAAACCCTTTATGATTCCTCAAAGAACCGATCTTAATATATATATATATATATATATATATATATATTTATATATTTTTTTTTTTTTCATAACCTTAGGAAACTTTTTTCATGATAAAAACATTTTGTGCAAGATTTCATTGCTGGTATAGGGGTAGCACTTTAGTTTAGGGACCAATTCTCACTAGCAATAGCATAGGCATGCCTATTATTAACATATTGGCTGTTTATTAGTGCTTATAAAGCACATATTCTGCATGACCATGTTCTACATAATCCTACTCAATACCTAAATTTATCAACTACCTTACTAACTATTAACAAGCAGCAAATTAAGAGTTTATTGAGGCAAAAGCCATAGTTAATGGTCTGTTAATGGTGAGAAATTGACCTAAAAATAAAGTGTTCCTGGTATAAAGGTTCTTCATGGAACCATAAATGCTAATAAAGAACCTTTATTTTTAACAGTGAAGTGAATTAGTTTTAGATCACTTCACGTGTGCCGCGCTTGAAACTGAACTTTCTTTAACCAGACGGTTTAGCAAGGTTTTAATACAGTTGTATTTACATTTTTAAGTCGACTAGTTAAAACGTTAACAAAATATAAATTGTTATCTTGAATTGGTCAAACATTCAGGAAAATATATATATATACAGTATATCGGTATCACCCAGCCCTACAATACATAAAACATTTAACAACACAGCTTCAGTGGCAGGGTTAAAAAGAATACTTTTCTTGAGGAAATCACATCTTCAGTCATGTACAAATGACAATAAATCCCAGCGGATCGCGAGGGTGTGCGGGCGCGTGTAAACATGCGCACGAGGGCTAAATGTGGTGGCTCTGGAAGAGGCTGGGATATAATTCCAATATCTCCACTATTAGATTCCAGCCTCTTAATTGTCAAGAAAGAAGAATGATGAGGGAGGGAAGTTATAAAGGGCTCTAGCTTGCTCTCGAACGCAGGAGAGCCCGGTGTGTGTTGCTGTTATGAAGGTGTGTAGGATTACAGAGAAATTAAATGCTAATAGGATGAAATTTAAATGTGGATCCTGCAAGGCTCACCGTAGCTCTGCGGAGAATGTGGGTGTCGCTGACAGCGCTAACGCACATTATTCAGCAGAAATTTGATTTATCAAACTGTAAAGGTGTCACTTTCTCAAAATGTCATTTGGGGTGATGACAGGGAAATATAATGACCCGCTTTAATGTAAAACTGTCTTAGATGACAAACACATCAAGCTCCGCTCGGAAATCTGCTTGTTTTTGACACCTCGCCTTCGATAACTTCGAAAAAAAAACACGGGCTGCTCTTCTCTGTGGTCTTTCTGAGCGTGCTCCTCTTACTTTTTCTCTTTTTTCCCCTCCTTTATATTGTTATCAGAAGCATATCAGACTGTTTCAGGACATCAATCAAGCAGACAGAAATAAAGGAAGGATTATTGAATGTTCAGATAAACCCCCTCTCCTCCCATTCAAAGCCGTCTTCTCTTCTCTCTCCCATTACAATAACATCCAGTCGTGCCGCAATAACGAGGCGGAAGAACAGACGGATCGCACGACTAAACTGGAAGGATAATAGCTGGCAGGGCAATCATCTTAGTTACAGTTTATTATGAAATTTCTACCATTGCATTTGCATTTGTTTCAAGTGACCCTGAGGCAAGTGTCCGGAGATATTACACCACCGAGTGTTTAGACAAGAAAGAAAAAAGGAAAACACACAAAAGAAAAAAACGAGCGTCAATATGAAGAAAAATATAATTAGTTTCAAAGGATGACAAATGGGTGGCGGATTAATAATTAGATAAGTTTGTCAAATTATGAGACAGGCCTCATTCTGGCAAACACTGAGCAATAAGAGAGAGAGAGCTGATAAAATTTGACACAGATATGATACAAATAAGCTACACAACACTGTTTGACACCCACATCCCGACTGGATTCAGAACACTAGCCGATCTGGTCATAACAACCCTCGACGCGGCGGTCCTAACTAACAGAACTGACCGGTTAATGATGGAAGTGGACGCTCTGAATCCTAATTAACACCAATCTGTAGGACATAGTTACAGAAATGTTGCAGCGCTGCGTAAAAAGGTTTAAACTTACAGAAAAGCATCTTCAATGATTTAAAAAAAAAAATCAAGGTGCTCGTATACTAAAAACGGAAAACTGTTTATGTGTTTTGGCTGTTCATTTGGCATTTTGAGGTTTGTATAGGTACACTAGCGGTCAAAAGTTTGGGATCAGTAAGACTTGTAATGTTTTTAAAGAAGTGTCTTCTGCTCATCAAGGATGCATTTATTTGTTCAAAAATACAGAAAAAACAGTAATCTTGCAAAAATGTTGTTACAATATAAAATAATGGTTTCCATTTTAATATCCTTTAAAATATAATTTATTTCTGTGATGCGCAGCTGAATTTTCATCATCATTACTCCAGTATAAAGTGTCGCATGATCTTCAGAAATCATTCTAATATGCTGATTTATTATTAGAGTTATCAATGTTGTGCTGCACAATATGTTTTGGAAACTGCAATACTTTTTTCAGGATTCTTTGATGAATAGAAAGTTAAAAAGAACAGCATTTATTCAAAATCTAAATCTTTTCTAACAATATAAATCTTTGCTATCACTTCTTATCAATTTAACACATCCTCGCTGAATAAAAGTTTTAATTGCTTTAAAAAAAAAAGAAAGAATAAAAATGTACCGACCCCACATTTTTGAACAGTAGTGTTTATTGTTAGAAAAGATTTCTATTTTGAATAAATGCTGTTCTTTTTAACTTTCTATTCATCAAAGAATCCTGAAAAAAGTATCAGTTTCCAAAACAACATGAAGCAGCAACAGTTTCCAGCTCTGATAATAAATCAGCTTATTATACTGATTTCTGAAGATCATGTGACGCTGAAGACTGGAGGAATGATGCTGAAAATACAGCTGTGCATCACAGAAATATATTACAGTTTAATGTATATTAAAATAGAAAAACGTAATTTTACATCATAATAACATTTCACAATATTAAATTTTTTCTCTGTATTTTTGATCAAATAAATGCATCCTTGATGAGCAGAAGAAATATATAACACAGTAAAAAAACAGTAGTATTGTGAAATACTATTACAAAAAACTTTCATTTTATGTCATTTATTGCTGTGAACAAAGCTGAATTTCTTCTTCAGTGTCACGTGATCTTCAGAAATCATTCTAATATGCTGATTTGCTGCTCAAGTAGGGGCCTATGAAATATTTTTTCCCAAATTCAGTTTTATCTATTTCCAAATTCTATTTCTTCCACTTAAAATTTTTTATTAAATTTTTTTTCCCATTTTATTTCATTTTCTAGACTAGAGTTTTAATGGTTAAATTAATAGAATATTAATGGTCTGATTAACTGAAATCATGAAAGATACACAATTTAACAGCAATTTAATAAAAGTTTAACAATAATGGCATTTTTAAGACCTAAATAAATACGTATATTTTTTTCCCTCAAATTCGGTTGTAGTTTTTCCAAATTTGTACTAAATTCTGAATTTTTTGGATTCTATTTTAATATCATTAAATTGTAATAATAAAAAGCATCTCTAATTAATTGACTTTATAAATAAATATATTTATTATAGTTTTATTTATTTATTTTTTCAGAAATACTTTTACATTTACATTTTTCTGGTAAATATTCCTTAAACAATAATGTTTTAATAATAATTGTATCATTAGCAGTAGTAGTACAATAATTACATTAAGTAATATATTTCTGTCACTGTTTCTTCAACTTAAACCTAACTTTTATTTTGCTGGTTTGCTGTGAAGTCCTTTAGTTTCTGTTTGTATATGATATGACGATATCCTATCAGAAACGGGAAGTTTGCTCAGGAAGTGACCCTCTAGAGATTATGTTTATGGGTCAATATCACTGTAGGGTCCTGTACAATAACTCATTTGCCATGATAACTTCACATAAAAATGACTATGAAAGGGTGTGTTATATTAGGCTAAGTTTTTATATTCATAACAAAAGCATTACTTGGCTCTTTAGAGACATTTTCTAGATTTTTTTTAGTTTTGTGTAAGAGGATGCGTGTTATTTTGCTATGTCCCATGCACTGCTCATTCATTTTGAATGATAGTAGAATAGTCAAATCATTAAAAAATAAATAAATAAATTATCCTATTAATATTTTGTTAAATAAGAGATTATTCAATTTGAGTGTACTGATCATTTGGTAATAAAAACTGTATTTTTATTTAATAAAAAAAGAGGAGTTTGTCCATGTCCCTTGAATGGTTGTCCAACCTGTTGTATTGGGGACTCCGCCCCTTT